ACATTGCCTTTCTAGATTTTCTTTATCTAACGCTAAATCATCTCCTCTTGAGTTGAATCATCCAGTTCCTCCGTTAACTCTTGGTGGTGGTATTTCATCATATCCCATTCCAATGGCCATTAATCAAGATAAAAGTGATCTAAACAATCATAAAATTTCGGTTGGTCGTAATCGAAATGCTCGTAAGAATCCTTACCCTCTTAGAGCACCTACTATGAGTTCGCCAGGAATAACTTTTAAAGTTGATATGTATACACCAGTTTTAAAAGATCCTCTGGCAATTTTACGTAGTAATGAGGAACCTAAAAGTAATACTAGTAATAATTCAGAATTTTTTGGTATGTTATCACCACCAGCATCAGAACAATGTGAATCACAACCATCCTCTCCACCGGCTGAAGATACAAATTTTAAAATTCAAGAAACAAATTCATTACCAGTTCGTCAATTATTATCAAGAAAACCTAAACGTCCTAAAAATTCTCAAACTAAACGTTCAGGTACTTCAGCACCTCAACGTAAGAGAAAAGGAAATAGTTTGGCTAGAGTAATGGCAGATCGAGGACTTTTAGAGTCAGTATTTAATGCAGAAATTACTTCAAACGATATTAAATCAGTTAGAATACCACCACCACCTTCAATGCAATTTGACGAATTAATGACTAGTATTAATACACTTAACCTTGATACTAGCATTTTAGAAAAAATGGCTCCAGAAATTACTTGGAAAGGACAACCATTATCTATAGCACATTTACCTCATTATGATGCTTTACATCATACAGAAGCACATGTAGTATCAGTTCTTCGTCTTACACCAGTTCAATATTTAACAGGAAAGCATACACTTGTTTCAGCAGCTCAAAGATATGCTCAAAGAGCACTACCATTCCGTAAGAGTGATGCGCAAAAATTACTTAGAATCGATGTAAACAAAGCCAGTAAACTTTGGGAATTCTTTCAACAGGTTAAATGGATTTAACAACGAACGAATTTTAAACGAACGAATTTAAACGAATTTAAATGGATTTAAACGACGATTTTAAATGGATTTAAACCGAATTTTTTAAAAAAATAATAATAATAAAAAAAAAATATAAAAAAGAAAAAAATCATTTATTCGCATTTAGAATCTTTATTATACAAGAAACATAAAAAAAAACAAAAAAAAAAAAAAAAAAAACACCAACATAAATTACATCTATGGATATAAACAAATTTGCACAAATTATATACAAGTATCTTTAATATAACATTATCTAAATCTTTTAAGCTTCGCTTTTTTGTTCCTAGAATTCATATTTTGTAAATACTTTTTTTTTTTTTTTAAACTCTTTTATTCACAATTACGATCAAATTATTTGTATTACGACTTTGTACAGGTTTAGAGAAAACAATAAGTCAAAACACTTAAAAAAAAAAAAAAAAAAGAAAGAAAGAAAAGAAAGAAAAAAAAAGAAAAAATAAATATAATAAAATTTTTTTTTACTTATTTTGCATAAATTTAAACGTCTAACCAAGGATAATTTTTCATCTGTGCATCATGGTTAAACAAGAAAATATTTTTGTATAATCAATTTCACAAAGATAATCTTATACACACACATTTCAAAATAAAATAGAATAAAATAAAGCTAGAAGGTTTTGAATAATTCTTCAAGTTATTTCTATATATAAACTTTAAAAAAAAATTCTTCAAGAGGAATGGCTAAATGAAAATATTTTAGGATTTGATCGTCATTTTACTCTCTATCAATCAGATTTTGACAACTAAAATAAACATAAATAAGCAAGTAATAAATAAATAAATAAAAGAGAAAGCCATGCATACGATGAATAACTTATTAATAACTTATTGATAACTTATTGATAACTTATTGATAACTTATTGAAAAAAAAAGATGTACTTAATCCTTTCTTGATTTTGCAATCAATTTCTTTGTTTTTAATTTTGGTCATTCTTTAAAAATCTGTTTTGTATCCTTATTGTAGCATTTATAGTGTTATAGTCAATTTATCTGGTTTAGATCTACCTAAATTTTTCTTTGTATTCTGCTACGATGTAAGCAGGAGATGTTGAGGGAAACAATGATTTATCTATAAATCTGTAAAAAATCTGTAAAAAATTGATAAAAAATTGATAAAAAATTTATTCAAAATTTATTCAAAATTTGGAGAAAGTTATAAATTATAAATGGCATGCTCGCATGTGTTTAGACACTATTCAGACAAATAAATTCTTAAACGAAAAAGAATATCAATATTGACGTTTAATAAATGATCCAAGAATAAATTTAATCAGAACTTAGTCATCTTATTACAGTATTAAAACCAGAATAGACCAGTCTCGACCCTGTCTGGATAAACTAAATCTTAAGAAAACTGACTGGCCATACCAAGATCTGATCATCTTTTGATCTATTATCATCATAAGTACTGTCTTTATTTGGCATTAACCTATTATTAATTTACGATTTATCACATTTTTACCAGGTGTAATCAAAGATTGAATTTGAATTCGAAATTTTTTATATTGTGAATTCAAAGTAAAACAGATCGATGATCGAAAAAAAATAATTAATAATACGTAATTATTGTAATTATCTAATTCTCTAATTCTCTCATTCTCTCATTCTCTCGATGGGATTGTAATCCTCTCAATGGATTGTAATTCTCTTGATGGATTGGTTGGATTGGTTGGATTGCTGGATTGCTGGATTGTGAGTGGTACAATGCCAGCAATATCGGAATATCGGAAATATCGGAAATATCGGCAATATCGGCAATATCAGCAATATCAGCAATATCGGATACCGGAAATACTGCATCAGCGTATCAGCAATTTATCAGCAATTTATCATCAATATATCAGATATTGAAGAAGGAATGAAAAGAATATGACGGATACGAAACGAAGAATTCGATGGAATAGATCGCGTGAAAGTGCGTGAAAATCACATACACGTGGTAGGCTAACAAAGAATAATAATTTGTTCGTACATAAAAAAGATCATTATTCGCGACTTTTTTTGACTTTTTTCGTACCAATTAGTATTTCTTGTGATTTCTTAAAAATGGTTGATCTGTTGATCTCAAACTACTATTTTCGGATAAACCGGCACCAGTAAACTAAAAACATATTATTTTTCCTCGGGATAGAAAACAATCTTTAATAAAAATATTATTCCATTGGAACTTGGCAATTTTCTTTGTTCATTTGCTAAAATTGTTACATTTATTAGTATCAATAAAAATTTAAGACGTTCAATAAAATTTAAGACGGCAAGGATAAGAGTAATTCCGATTACGAGATATTGAAAGTTTAGCGTTAGGTAATTTGTACAATAAAAGGCTTTCCATGTAACGTTACTTTTTTGTGTCACTACATGAATTACTTACTTACTTACGTACCGGTACTAAACTTGTCCGAAATTGGATTATTATTTTTTTCCTGCCGCAGATTTTTTTCTTTGTCATGCTAAACGGAACCTCAAATTTTGATTTGCTGATCTATTAATTACGGCCAGTTCAATAATTATTTATAAATTACATGGTTCTAAACGTATTATGTCTTCATTTTATGTTCTCATTTTCCCTTGGCATCACTCAAGTGATTAACGATGGAAGGCAGATAATCCGAAAGATATCATGAAAAAAATGTTACAATTGCGAAACAAGTTAGAACAAGTGAGTTACTAAATCGAGTCACAAAAATCGAGTCACAAAAAAAAATCGAATCACTCACTAAAAAAAGTCATTAAAATAAACCTTGTGTTATTAACTTTGTAACCAAAAAAAATAAAAAAATTTAATACAGTAATAATAACATAATAACAATAATTATGGCATGCAGATAAAACGTTACGTTACGTACGTACAACAAGAATGTAATAATTGTAACTAATTTTATAAATAATGCAAATGAAACTAATAATATTATATTTGAATATTATGAAATATTACTATATCAATTATATCAATTATATCAATTATGCCAAGTAAAACAAAATCGGCATTAATTATATAATTAATAATCTGAATATCAAAATTTGTAAATTCGAAATTTCTAACTGTACTTTTTGCATATTCGTCAACTGTTTTTCGCGTATATGTATCAAGTCTGCATACGCCACACTAAGTACCATTATGACGTGTAATGCGGCTATTTTGTGCAGATTACATATCTTTCTATTCTTAATTAAGAATTTTACTATATAAAAAAAAAATAATAAAAAAAAACTTACTTTTTTTTTTTTTTTAAACTCTAAGATGTCATTTTGACACAAAGTTGATCTGTACTATAGTGTACCATTTTGTTTGAAATAAAATAAATTTTAAAGTTTTGCTGTTCTTAAAAAACTTATGATTCAAATATGACCAATAAAAAAAAGTCAGTATTCAAAATAAAGTAAATAAGATGATTAAAAAAAAATATATTTGGTTTGTTATTATTATCAAATAAAGTTATTTTCTTTATTTTTACACAATTTTTTGTTTATTATACAAATAGAAATGAAACCAAAAAAAGTGCAAACCCCGTAAATTTAATGCGATGAATATTTTTCATGAAAAAAGTAACCGAACTGAATAACTGACTATTGGCTCAAAAAAAATTATTTTTAATTAACAAACTATATAAACTATAATTGATAACTATAACTGATGACTGTAACTGATAACTGTAATACTGTAATATATTACATAAAAATGGTGATAGCGGCCGAATGCACAGAATAACGACGATGTCGATAACACATAATGATTAAAGTTGGGATCCGATCCTACTAGGGACATATCTTGAAAATTCATTTGTAGCGGATCGTTCCAAACAAGTAAGATAATTGTGCTACATTTAATAGTCGGTGCATCTAAATTTTTAACTCTAATAATTTTATTGGATCAGAGAAAGTCAAATATTTTATGCGCTTGATATTCTGGGCTCAGTAAATACAGGATGCGATGCAAAAACTCGCAGAAAACTTGGAATATAACAAGAGTTAAATAGATAAATATTCATGTAAGGGACTTAGAGGGGTCCCCGCATCCTGTGAATAAATTAAGAGAAAATGTAATAACTGGTAGTTTATATTCCAGACAATTTCTACTTTTGGTGACAAAATGTTTTGATGTTTGAAAAGCGATGCTATGTTGATAAAAAATTAAAACATTTCACGCATTAAAAATTAATTGTTTATGTATTAAAAACAGTTTTTTTTAAAGTTCAATTTCAAAATTTCTGCATAAAAAAGATGTGTAAATTATATATATTATAATAATATTATTTAATAAGTATTATTTATTGTTCCCGAAGATTTTAAAAAATATTTCTAAATGAGTTCATTTTTGTTTCGTAAAAAATTATAAAGTTGCCATTTTTGATCGGTTTGTTAAAAGGTATGATCATCAGATTACGTAATTTACGGAATTCAACAAGGAAAAAATTGTAAAAAAAAAAGTGTAAACGTAAATAGGAAAGAGTAATAATTATCATTTATCATTTTCATCATTTTCATTATTTTTTTTACTTTTGTTTGAGGAAAATCATTTCCGATGTTTTCCAGGATTGGTAGTCAAGTTTTATCGTAAATATCGGATGAAGCAATAAAATTTGACCTTGAAACATGTAATTGGTTCGACCTTTTACAATTTAAGAATTTTGAAAAAATGATCTCCGAAATATTTGACATATTAACTGCTTATAAATTGTATATAATGTATATATAACATATGTAACATATAACGTTATAATAAACGTTTAGATAATAAATAATTTATAATTGAATCTTTTTTAAAATAACAATATTTGATATTATATATACTGTGATATTATCATAAAACTATCATAAAACTATCATAAACTATCATAAACTATCATAAATTATCATAAATTATCATAAATTATCCTAATTATAATAAAATTGGTCATGTCATAAATTAAGCTTTCGGATTATCTGGATTAAGTTAAATACGATATCAAAAAATTTAGTTTATATTGTAATCATTTCCGAGTATATATTTGAGTATATATTTGAGTATATATTTGAGCATATACAGTATATTTGAGTTTAATGAGCTTTAAATTACAAAAGTATAAAAATCAAATCAAAAAGTATACACAAAAAGTATATGCTGTAAGAATTATACGTAGGAAAAACTCTTAAGATGTATTCGTATAAAAGAGCTATAGGAAAAACTAATATTATGTGTTCGTGCAGAAACTTTTTTTGAAAATCAAATATAAAAGGTTGTTTGGCAACAATCTTCAGATCACACTGTTACGTTTAATATTGAATGTAACTTACAAACCAAGGCATAAACAAACATCACATCCAAATGTCAATCCGCCAACATCATTTGTACCAATAATAATCAAATAGCTGACATATTTGATTATACCCCAGTAATTTTTTTATCTAAGCTTTTTTTGGCGTGCGAATTTTGTTCATTATCAAAATTTAGCTCGTGACGCATATATATTATTTTTTATATTAATATCAATTGCAAACAAATTAAAATTAATTGTTCACGAATAGGATTTTGTTAATGGTGATAAATGTTAAATTTTGTTTGTAGTTAATTATTATAGTCATTTATTGTAATCAATTATTGTAATAAATTATTGCAATAAATTATTGTAATAAATTATTGAATTATTGTACGTAGTCAACTATATCCAATTATACCGTAACTATACCCAACTATATACTCCCATTATATATTCATTATATCTCATTATACATGGGTTCATTTTGCCACGTTGTTTTCTTGCCGCAAATAATGTGTGACAAAAGCGTTTTAAGATTAAATGACGGATCATGTGATGATATGGTTTATAACCGGTGATCATTAACAAGAATTAATCAAGTACCTATTTGACAATATTATGACATACACATGTATTTTTTTTTTAAACACAAAGACTAATTTATATAAATTTATGTAAATTTTATGAAAACAAAGCAACCGAAATTAGTTTTTCCTCGTATATATATATCGATTTATTTCATCATCTTAAGTAAGTATTCATCATTAAAGTATTCATTTTACGTTTTATAGTATTTACGTATTTTGGAAGGTTTAAATCTTCCGACGGGCATCTCCGCAGTCTTCCATAAAAAATTTCGATTCGAATATAAAAAATATATAAAAATATATATGCATGAAGATTCAATTTAATGCAGCATTCACACAAAAATCAACAGCTATTGCTTAAATTTCACTTAAATGGTTACGATTATCTTTTGGCTTTTCTCTAGTTGGTTCCTTTTGACCCATATCTAATCATACCATAGTTCTTATACTCAAAAGAAATTTAGTTGTACGATAGAATCATAAAGAACATTAAATTTCATAATTATTATATGATAAATGTGGCGAACAGATCATCAAAATATTCCTACTTGTGTCAAAACTAGATTTATTCTCCAAACTTCTCCGATTAAATTGCATATAGTTGGTGATATCCACGCTCGACTTTAATAAATAAACATTAATCATGTGAGCTTTTTTTTAAAATCATAATTATAATACTGTAATTACTTACTGTAAGTAAGTATTGTAAGTACTTTAAGTAAGTATGATGATAATAATAATTCTGATAATAATTCTGATGATAAATTAATTAATTCTAATAAATTATAATTCTGATAAATTATATTATATCGTTAATAAAGATAATTCTAATGGCGTAATAAATGGACTGCGCTTTCGGCAAATTTATTAAATCCGAAAAGTGGTACTTTGGATAGTTTTGGTGTTAGTAGTTACACCAATAATATGTCAGATGTTTCGATTTTCATAAAAAGAACCAAGTGAGTCAATCACCTGACTATACTGTAGTAAGCCGAAACATATTGAAGCCCTTTCGTAGACAACAATTCTCTAATGAATTCAAAATATTTATATATCCTTCCGAATATGCATCCGTCTCATAGCATACACCTCACATTACAGCATTACATTCTATTTTTTTAATTTTTTTCTTGATACTCTTTTATATAATACAATTTTTTTTAATTCAAAAGAATTATTTAAGTCGGATAGATGATATTCAAAGATATCTTTTTTATTACAACATCTTTATATAATAAAAAACATAAATTAAGTATTGGCGTAATTATTAATGAAAATTTGTCATTATTTTGCTTATATTATAATTATAAGGATGATATAATTGTGTTTGACAATATATTTTTAGACTAGAAATGCATTTACGTTGTATAAAATAAATGCTAGTTACATTATTCCATATAAATCACATTAAAATATATGAATTGTCTTGTTGTAAATCATTGAATAAGGTAAAATCAGTCCCTTTTTCTTCCGATTGTAATATCTGTATCTTTTGAGAAAGTTTATTTAAGGAAGTGCATTCTGCCCAAATTTTGAGGTTTTGCTTTTTCCTTTAATTCTTTATTACTTTTCTTTTCAGAAAAATTGAAATTGCAAAATTTTTTTATCATTATTACTATTTAGTAATAATTATAAATTACTTTCTCGTAAATTGATTTTCATTACATATACTCCGGTTTCAACAATAAATAACTATTTCTCAACTTGTTTCTCTTTTATTTACTTTGAACTCCGAATTGGTTTATGAAACATTACTTCAGCCCTTTATATATAAACGCGCTGACTATTAATTTTCTTCAACCTTTTTCTTTTATTTTTTTTCACAAATCTTTTAAATTTTTTAAATTTTTAAATTTTTCTTATAAATTTTTTTTTTAAAATTATTATTAACTCCATATTACGAAAAAATATATACATATATATATAAAAAAAAAAAAGGAAAATTATAAAAAGAAAAAAATACAAGTAAATGTCTTCTTGTTATAATTCTATTAATTCTATTGCGACACCACTTATTTCACCACCTCCTTCTCCCCCTGATGAATGTTCTACACATTTTATGACTGATGAGCAAAAAGTAACGCTTAATGGTGAGTCTCAATCGGAAAGTTCAAACAAGCTGGATTTAACAAAAATAGAAATCACCAATTATGCACCAGGAAGTCAGCATAGATTCAGGATGAGAGTATGCGATGTTCCAAAAGAACTTATGGATTTGATTAAAGCTTCAGAAAAAATTCCTCGTAACGTTTCTAAAGCTACTGCTGCGCTTACAACAGGAAATTTGACCACAAGCTCCGACATCATGGGTAGTACAAAGGATGCAGTTTCAATATGCCCCAACAATGGTCGTGTGACTTCAACACCTAACCAAACACAATCCACAAATATTGATGATAGGGGACCTATTAAGAATTTAAATGATAAACGCCGTAGAACTAGAAAGAATCCTTATCCAATTAGAGCACCATCAAAATCATCACCAGGAATAACTTTAAAAGTGGATGTTTTTACACCATTTAAAGAAGATCCTCAAGCGTTATTACATAGTGATGATCCACCAGCATCCGATCCAAGTACACCTTTATTATTTTCTGATATGTTTTCATCAGCAGATGAAACATCCGAATCAAGTTTACGTAATAATTCAAAATCATTAAATAAAAGACAACGGAATAAAATTCGAAATAAAACTAAAAGATCAGTAACAGAACGTAAACGTAAAGGAAATAGTCTTGCAAGAGTAATGGCAGATCGAGGGCTTTTAGAAGCTACATTTACACCAGTCGCAAATGAAGGGGAAGCAAAAACTATTCGTATTCCACCACCACCACCAATGCAATTTGAAGAATTAATGGAAAATATAGATCAATTAGATCTTGATACAGATTTACTCGATCGTATTAATCCAAAAGTTAATTGGAAAGGTCAACCACTTACAATTTCACATTTACCACATTACAATTCTTTACATTCAAAAGAAGCTCATGTTGCATCAACATTGCGTCTTACACCAGTTCAATATTTAACATCTAAAAATACATTGGTTTCATCAGCTCGAAGATATACACAAAAATCACTTCCATTCAGAAAGAGTGATGCACAAAAACTTCTTCGAATTGATGTTAATAAGGCTAGTAAACTTTGG